ATACATTAAATTTTCATACATGAAATATATGGAAATATGAAGTAAAATTATACATGTACATATGTCTGAAAATGATATATCAAATCTATTGAAAATTGGAACAGTTTCATATATGTCTAGCACATAAAAATATGTATGTTTGAATCTTTAAAATGAATGAAGAAAGACTAATATGTTTTATACATTTATATTAAAAGTTGAAAAGCATTTTGTTTTAATAAATATATTAAATTTATATCGTTAACAAATAGGTTATATAAAATTCATCATACAGATAGTTTCAGTATATTTACAAATTGGGTATTTCCTATATGTTATAAACTTACAGTATATCTTCATATATCCAGATGACACACTGCCCCTTGTTGGTATGATGGAAAGAGAGATGCTGATAATTTGGTTGTCGTGTTGGGTAAGAATGTATGTAGGAATTATTACAGAAATATTGTTTAAAACATTTTGATAATTTTTTGTTTTCTAATATCACTTTATAAATGAAAATACATGTTTATAGGATGTTTATATAAAAAATGGTTAATACATTTTAAGTTGATAAAAAAGAGAAACGCGGAACGCGCCTCGTGTTGGATATGGAGCAAGCGAGAGGAGGAAAGCTGGAGGCCAGGAGCAGGTGGGCAGTGAGCTGGCCACTCACTGCCGGCCCGCCAACCGGAGAGTGTTGTGGTTGAGGGTCGAAACACTCAGTGGAGGTTGTGTACCACCTGATGACACCCGCTCCTGGCCAAAAGCTGCAGCTACCGGCAAAGGTAGGTAGACACTAAAAGTGTATGTAATTAATGAAGTATTCCTTACAACAGTATTGTTTTTTGCTGAGAAGTCATATAGGCTATTTGTGTGGACTTGGTTTTGCTTTTTTTTATTCACACACATGAAACATTACAAATACATTGCATGTAGTTTTTTTTTTTTTTTAAGGAGAGAACGTACAGGTGAGATAAGAAACCCATCGAAATAAAAATAACATCATACAAACTGAGAAAGGAGGAAAGAAAGACAGGAAGACAGATAGAAAGAAAAAAGAAAGCAGAAAGAAAAAAGAGAAACAAAAATATCACTAAATATACAGTGGAGGGGATACAAATATTTAAATGAATCTATCAGCCAGAGACACAATGAAAAAGAAAAATACATAAACCAAATTGCTCTTATTTTACCCTAACTCCCATCTGAGACCTTATTAATGCTTCTTTACTTTTCTTTTAAAAACAGGTAGGGAAGGTGAGGTGTCTAACAGTTATACACCTCTATATTTAATTAAATACTGCCCCTTGTTGGTATGATGGAAAGCGAGATGTAGGAATTATTACAGAAATATTGGTGAAAAATTTTGGTAAATTTTTGTTCTGTAAAATCACGTTACAGATGAAAATACATGTTTGTAGGATGTTTATATCAAAAATGGTTAATACATTTTAAATTTATAAAAAAGAGAAAAGAGATGGCTCCTTTGACTTTGCAAATATGGCAAATCTGACAATCTTTTTTCTGGATTATGTGGATTTTATGGAATAAGAATTGGCCCATACAGTATTGCAGTAGCTAAGGTGTGGACTTCTCCACGCAGTAACTTGTTCATATCAGGAGAGGGCGCTGTGGGACCAGAAAGTCACTGCTGTAAGAACACAGCCACTGACAGTGTAACTGCTGAAATATCAGAGTACAAAAAGGGTCAGCAGAGGAGTTAGTTATTATTATTGTTAACTGTTTAGTTGTTAATATGAGGATCGTTTTTGCTCTTACATTGAATTTGCAACAAGTTTCAACTATAAAAAATTATTGTTTCAGTCTGTTCCTGCCAGCAAGTACACACCCAGTAAATTAAAGCTTACTGCATGAGCTGCAGACAGAAGTCATATGAGTGCTTGTAACATGAATGGCAATTGTGTTCTACAGTGTCTTTTTATGTTGCTTTTACGGCTTCATGTTGAGTGACAGGTACTTTACACATTGGACAGTTTTGAATGGAGATTCTGTTTCAGCACTTCACTGTGTTCTTTAAATGTTGGATGAAGATTTTATTATTTGTGACATAAACTGCTGTAAACAGGAAGCGGGCAGGCTGAGCGTTGTGTTCATGGAAAGAAAGTCACACTGTGGTTTTTACTAAGAAAAACTGACAACACATGTAACTCTATTTTACTCTCTGGAAAATCTCCACACTCAGGTGCTTCAAACCCTCATGATCTTCCAGCTGAACCCTAATGAGATATGTATTTAATAAAAATGATGTTATCTGCTATTACAAAGTTTCTGCTTTGAGATGGCCTTCAGTTTGCTTCCTTGTAATATGTTCATTTACTAAGAAGAACCTTGACCTAACTTAATGTTTATATAGTTTCCTTAGTCTGTACCAAAACCCATTTAAAAATGACACATTTTGAAAATGATTTAAATCATCAATGTCCATAATTTCTTCTTTCCTAATCAGATCAAATGCATCGTATAATTAATATCAGAAACATGTGGCGCTGTTTACCCAAGAAAAATGGATTTCATGGAGAAGCTCGAGGACAAATTTCAACTTTGACAAAAAGATGAGTTTAATAGATTATAATCTTTATCTTAATATCATTCGATTGTTATAGTTTCAACATATGATCAGTTCTACAGGATACCTTTGACCGTTATCTTGGCAAAGGTCTGTAAAAGTGAATTTCTTTACATTTCTTTATACAGTTTTACTAGGTAATGGTGGCACGTCTGTTCGCTCACAACCTGGATTCTTCTATAGATAAACTGTTTCTCAGTAAATAAAATACATCATGTCCTATCGATCTCCATGTTTCCATGTTTGAATTGGTCACTCTTTATTAGTTTGAAAAAAGGAAATGCATGAATATGCCAAGTGAAGTATTGCTCTGTTTGTAAGCAGGAAGCACCTGTATGTGTTTTTTACACTTGCTTTTTTACCAAAAAAATATGAATGTGTGGTTGAGAAAGGAAGTACTCACGAATTTAAACTGAAAACAGAAGTGAATCACAAGTTCACCACGTTGGCACCTATAAATGTAATGCTATAAAACAAGAAATACAACAAAACAATTACAGGGAATGGTCAAAAGTCAAATGATCACAGTGCTGCTACTTTTGTACTGAGTAATAAGAAGCTGATGATTGATCCCAGGGGAGAATTGATTTGCTTCGAGGCACAAACATGATAAACAGTCAAAAGTAAAAACAGTGGGCAATCTATGACATAATCTGCACATGGCAGACTCCCACAATAGATGCAAATTCCTTTGTCACAGTGGAAACAATATGCTGAACTTCAAACACTGTCATTTCAAACTCAAAACAATGGATTTACTTTAAAGGTTTTTTTCCAATTACTAAAGATTAGGACGATCCTTTTGAAATATGTCACAATTACCATTAAAGTGCAATGACTTTGAAGACATTTTTCATTTTGATGAGCTGCTGTTGACTTTCTGACTGTGAAAATTTGATGTGTAAAAGCACATTTCACTGGCAACATTTGAATTAGGCCACTGATACAGACTAAGCAGCAATCTGCCAGCACCAAGAGTCAGTCCCCACAGACTCCCATGTTAAAATGTCCAAATAAACATGTTTACAGCCTGGTACAAAAACACTTTTGGTCTCTACAGCTAATTCACTCCTTCATAACACCTGTTTATATAACTCACCTGTTTACATTTTATTAAAGCTGAAAGTAATGAAAAATGGAGGGCATGGCCACTTTGAGTGACAGGTGGGCGTGGCCACAGTCCGCTAACTGTCTGCTTGGCATCACCTCAGCTAATGTGAGTCACTAAACTGCTCCTCTTTTTGGAGGTGAGTGTAATCCTAGTATTTTATTTATGTTAACTCTGACTAAAAGGTATCAGTGTCTGCACTCACCATACCTGGGTTGTTAGCTAACCTTGAGTTAGCCTTCAAAATTAGCACAGCTGTGCTAATGATGCTAACTTGAGTGTATGCTTGCGCTCTACACAAGTGCCTCCTCTTTGTCCCTTTTTGGATTAGCCGGGAGTTAGGGGCGGAGTCAGGTACTGCCAAGATTGTGTCGGTGGAGCAGCTCACTCTGAACCTTAAAACCGCTCTTCAGAAACCTGTGGGTGACGTCATGGAGGCTACGTCCATCTTTATTTACAGTCTGTGATACAGGTGAGCAACTGACAAGTTGTTACATCATATTATTGGTTAAACTTGACAGAACTAATAAAAAAAAAAGTTGTGGGTGAATCAGAGTCACAGATAAGATTAGTCTCACAATGATGCTGTTTGTAGGACAGTATTTTTATTCCTCTGTGCCGGCAACAGTCAGAGCAGGAGCCATATTGTTTTCACATTCTCTGTGCCATTCATGTGGACATGATATCTCAGTAAGGCCTTGAAGGAACTTCTTCAAATTTGGCACAAACATTCTAATTAGATTTCAGTGGTCAAAGGTCAAACGTAAAGGCCGTGGTGACCTCACATAACATGATTTTGGCCTTGTTAACACAATATCTCAGTAACACCTTGAGGGAATTTCTTCAAATAAAAATTGTATCTTGCGGTGGAGCAGTTCAGGTTGTCTGTGGTTAAGTTACAATGCTCAGTTAAGGAATAATTGATCTTTGTAATGAAGGAAGAAAAAGGTTAACCACAAATACAACCTGATGAGAGAGCTACAGTGTAAAAGTAAAACTGACCAGACCACATTTTAATCACAAACCAAGCTTTAGGTTCACCTGGGAGATGACACACAGCAATCTGTGCTTCTTCACCTGAGGTTCTGGAGGTGAGTTTTATTCAAGTATAACTGAAGTTAGTTTTTGTGTATCTGTGTTACACAACCAACCTCACCACTTCTCATTTGAACATCTTCGCCACACTGACCAAGCATGGTGGTTAGTATGTTGAAACTGACCAAGTCATAGTGAAAGTGCAAGAGGGTGTCTGGGTGATTGTGGCTGCATTGAAAATGAAAGCATACATTTCCTGAGATTTTTTTTTTTAAATAGGTAGCGAGTGCCACTGTAGAACCAGTAGTCTGCTCACTCGCTCATCACGATGAATCTTCTCCTGCCTCTCTTCATCGCCTTGACGCTCTCCAGCACAGGTAACTCCTCTCACTTTTAAATCAGGGTTCCTAATTTAAAGCTTGTAACATATTTTTTTATGTAAGAATGTTTTTTAAATTGGTAGATATGGAGAAGAAACTCTAACTCTAAACCAAAACTAAATCAATTATAAAATACTACCAATCCATTGCTAATATGAGCCAAACTACCACTCCCGTTACACATCAAATTTAATCAATATTTTAATCCTCAAAGGGGCTTGCATTCCAAGATGATTGATGAAATCTCCAATACGTCCTCAGTATCAGCCAAATCTAAGTCAGTACTTGTCCAAGGTCTGAAAAAAGTGGCATCTCTAACTGAAGATATAACGCAGTGATATAAATAATCTATCATTTATACTCACAGTATTTTCCTCATTGCAGATGGAGCTCTTTGGTGTCTGACTCAGTCAAGGAGCAACGCAGTCAGTCTCATGTGTCCACCGACAGTCAAACAGTCTTGTGCAACAGCTGTCGTACAAGGTAGAAATCACCACAAGTCTATTGTTTCCCGATGTTTCTTGAAGTCTTATATTAGTTTTCTGCTCTGCAGTGTTTTGTCTGTGCGTTTTGTAACATGAATAAAACTCCACTTTGATTCCTCAGGAAGTGCGATTCTACATCCTACTGTTTCCAGATCGTGCATGCCGTCCATCCTGTGCAGCGCAGGCACTCAAATGTTTTCATACAGCTTTGGGAAACATTATCATCGGGCAGCTCTTGGTTGCTGTAACACAAATAACTGCAATGCTCAAATCCCGACTTGTAAGTCATCATCTTCCCGCTGGGCACAGTGAAGCACAATGAGAAAACAGGATGTGTTGAGTTGAGTCATTGACAGCTGATGACATGCTTTTTGTCTATCTCTGTTTTAGACCCTTTTATTCAGGTGATAAACGGGCTACAGTGTTACTCCTGTGCTGGTCCTGCCTGCAACAACGTGGTGCAGTGTGTGGGAGTGGAGGATCACTGCTTTAGTGGAACTGGTGAGTCTTCATGTAGGAGTGACTGGAAAGAATTAGTGGCACACACCAGCTTTTATTCCTCCGCGCCGGCAATAGTTAAGTGCCGGGGCCATACTGTTTTCAGGTTGTCTGTCCATCCGTCCCATTCTTGTGGACATGATATCTCAGTAACTGCCTGAAGGAACTTCTTCAAATTTGGCACAAACATTCACTAGGACTCAAGGATGAACTGATTATATTTTTGTGGTTAAAGGTCAAGGTCACAGTGACCATCATGAATTGATTATATTTTGGTGGTCAAAGAACTAAGGTCAAAGGTTAAGTTCAGTGTGATCTCACAAAGCACTTTTTAGCAACACTTTTTCAAGACTTCAAACAGCAATTATGACAAAATGTCACACAAATGGTTCATATTTTCTATGACTCTGGATAAACAGGGATTTAACCTCAAACTAGTCTAAGTGGAGGAGGCAGAGGACCACGAGGAGGTAATTCTAGTTTTGTACTTGAGTTTTAAAAATTCTTTTTGGGTACAAATGAAACACGAGTGGCCCCGACCTGCTGTGGGAGCCTATGTAATCATTTGACCTAAAATCAAAATGCTTTAATCTGAAAGAGTTTTGAGTTTAATCCATCTCCTCACTCAGGCCTCTCTCTGGAGTTCTAGTAACAACAATTCTTTTCTGAATTCTGATTTCTAAATTAAACTTGATTATGGTACTTCAACCTGACATAGACCACTTGACCAGGCTGTATGTTAAGTGCCTTCTTAAAGCCAATAAAATTCATACAGTAAAACCTGTGATTATTTCATCCACAGCTGTGATCGGGAACACCCCCACTCTGGTCTCTGGCTGTGCTTCTGTGCGTGTGTGTGCAGCTGCTTCTCAACAGAACGTCCCACTGTTTATGAGCTCTTTTAAATTCATCAGAGGACCAAATTGTTGTAGAACCAGCTTTTGTAATTCACCCAGGATTGCTAATTCACCCAGGATTGCTTATTCACGTAGGATTGCTTATTCACCCAGGATTGCTAATTCACCTAGGATTGCTAATTTACCCAGGATTGCTAATTCACGCAGGATTGCTAATTTACCCAGGATTGCTAATTCACCCAGGATTGCTAATTCACCCAGGATTGCTAATTCACCTAGGATTGCTAATTTACCCAGGATTGTTACAGGTGATTATATACAAATATGATTACTGTTAAACATAATATTATAAACACTTATTATTCAGCTTGATTTCATGGTGTATTTCCCCTTTGCAGCTTCAGCTCTCACTTGTCTGCATGGTGAAGGATCCCACAACCAACGCCGCTGTGCGTCCGTCCAACAGTTGTGTGCGACAGCTGCCATAAGAGGTTGTGGTATTTTTGTGACAGTTACTTTTTTAAGATTCATTCTCAGTGTCTCTGTTTCACAGTGTTTGGTCCGGGTGTGTTGTGAATATTAAACATAGCTTTGTTTAAATTGCACGTTGATTTGACAGCAAATGCAACTGAGGGTCTTCAGATCATCAGGTCGTGTGTGCCGTCCACCCTCTGCAGCGAAGGCACTCATGAGTTCTCGTACAACTTCGGCAGTACGACTTTAGATGCCGCTCTTCATTGCTGCAAAACAGATGGATGCAACAGTCGTACTCTGACTGGTGAGTAAACAGATCAGCATGTTTTCTGGACGTTGTTGTTTTGTTATTTTGATTCCTTGAAATGTCTGTTCTGTTTCAGTCCCAGTGGTTCAGGTAGAAAACGGCTTGAAGTGTTTCACCTGTGCTGATCCTCAAAGTACCGTCTGCAACGATACGTTGCGCTGTGTGGGAGCGCAGAACCGCTGTTTCCGTGGGAATGGTAAACCCTCATGCTGCATATCATATAACACTTCACTTGTCATATTGCTGCCCCTTGTTCCGACATCTGTAAAATTAGCAAAAGAAACACAACACACGCTTGGATTTAACATCGTTTTTTTCTCTATCTTCAGAGAAGACGGGGGCGACAAGCAAACAGGTCTTTGGCTGTGCATCCTCAATTGTGTGTAGAGCTGCAGCTGGAAGGAGTCTCTTCGGCCTCCTTAGAGTCTCCGGTGGAGTCAAATGTTGTGGCACCAGCTTCTGTAATTCAGGCGGGACCGTCCACCTGAGTGTCATCCCGTTTCTGCTTTCACTCATCGCTTTTTTCATCTGAGAGAGCAAAGAGCTAGAGATGGGAACTAAACCATCATCGTTCACCCACAGCCCCATTATTTCAACAGAGACTCATCCTCTTTTAGATGAATGCATAAAATGTTTTTGTACCCTGATGAGGACCTACGAAGGTCAACGACTTCCTGTCTAACGAACAAACCATGTAACCACAGAGGGCTTTCAATAAACAAATCATTGTTCCTCCCACATGCATCAGTGGCTATAAGTTTTATAAGCTTATTTTATTAACATGTGTGACAGAGGAGCTATTTCCTAAAAAAACAAAACAAAAAACACTTCAGATAGATTATTCTTTTTCTTGGTTCATTTTCATTCAAAACAACATCAAACACACACTAAAGGGATTTGTCTTTCTGCCCATAATCATTTAAAATGTTTGTTATCTCAATAGTGATGTGTAGTCTTGAGTAAAGCTTTAGTGGTGCACACTGCCCCCTGCTGGACTGTTTTTCATACAACCCCTGGCAGAGGTGGACAAAGTACACAGCTCCATTACTTGAGTCACAGTGTAGATCCTCCTGGTCCAATATTGTTGTTCAAGTTGTTCAGTCATTTTTTTTAATTTTAAAGTTAATGTACTGGAGAACTTGCTTTTGAAAATACTTATGTATTCAAAAGTACATTTTTTAAGTCAATGCATTCCTATGGAGGACCAGGGAAATTAAGTATTTCCTTAATTTCATATTTGAATAGGCATTAAAAACAGGGATTGTAAAAATAATTTATAAATCAACAATTAATCCATCAATAAATACTTAAGATTTTAAAATGGACTTAAAAAAACAGCATTAAATTCTAAGTAAAAGTAGATATAAATAAAAGCCCAGTAAACCATTAGGCTAACCAGTTTCACGGTACATGTAAGGAACAAGAAATAACAACAAACCCAAATTCGGCCATTACATCAGATCCCATTCAAACCTAACTGGAGCCAAATTCACTACTAGGAGTAGGCATGATTAACCGATGATCGATAATTGATCGTTAAGAATTTTGTCGACCATGTGCAATCTGACCGATCTAACGAGTGTATCAATGAGGTTTTGTTGTGTCGTGTGTCTTGAAGCAATGCAATGAATTTCACTGCATGGCAGGAACCAGCCAGGGTACAATTTAAATTTTCAACAGAGATAAATGAATACTCAGCTGCCGATGCGCGGGCCGTCGTAGGCATTTCTTTAGTATTTTCTGCCATAGGCATTTTTAATATAAATAGTGACTAATGAATCGATAATTGATCGTTAAATAATAATCAAGGTATCTCTCTCTCAAATTAAATCGAAGGCAACTGGACTTGTATTTGTCTGTGGAAGACGTTTCGCCTCTTATCCAAGCGGCTTCATCAGTTCATCATGTATTGGTCTCTCTAGTCCGCACTAGTCTGACCAAGAAAATGGAGAAGGACCCAGGTATTTAACCTCTTGTGGGTGGGTCCACCAAAGTACCTGTGAAAGTACTGGTTTCACCTGACCATTGTTGTGGTCTCATGTGGACGACCGTCGTTAGGGGTCAGGTGACCCTGTTGTTGTCCCCTGTGAACGACAGTCGTTAGGGTCAGGTGAGCCCCTGGTGGATGACGATCGTTGAGAGTCGTCTGAGGTTATGTTGTTGACCCTCCTGGGTACCGATGAAAGGGCGACATTGTAGATGGGGGATAGATGGTGTCGCAGACCACCTCCCCTGTTTAGCGATGGCCTCTCCACTTTTACATAGATGGCTTCCTTGACTCCCCTTTCAAACCATCTGTCCTCCCTGTCCAAGATTTTGACATTGCTGTCTTCAAAGGAGTGTGCCTTTTCCTTTAGGTGGGAGTAGACAGCTGAGACAGGGCCTGAAGAGTTTGCCCTCCTGTGTTGGGCCATACGTTTGTTTAAAGGTTGTTTAGTTTCCCCAATATATAGGTCATTGCAATCCTCACTGCATTTGACCGCATATATCAGGTTGCTTTTCTGATTGTGTGGTGTTTTGTCTTTGGGGTGTACCAGTTTCTGCCTGAGTGTGTTACTGGGTTTGAAACATACAGGAATTTGATGTTTGTTAAAAATCCTCCGGAGTTTTCTCTGAGACCCCTGTATCTGTCATGCACTTCTTGCATGTAATGTAGGTCAAACCAAATGACCATCAATATCAAACATTATCTTGTCATTGTTCGCTATCAGATGTTATTTCATATTATTCAATTTACAAGTAAAAGGTCATGGGAAATATACAGAACGTCAACAACCCATTTAATATGTTTTATGCAACTAAAGTGTTGGTATTCTGAACCGCTGGATGCAGTAACACAATTCTACATTGCTAGTGTCAGGCCGAGACTCAAAGCAGGACTCAGATGCAGAGATTTTGGATAACAAAATGCTTTTATTGAATTCACCGGAGATCTCGGACCGAGTGACAAACAAACGGCTATAAACCAAACTAGACACTATACTCTGACTTATAAAGAAAACAATAACCACTCCAAGAGGAGGGAAAAATAACTCTAATAAAAAGAAACAAATAAACACAAAACGCTCCGTGTGGAGGAAAAACCAAGGACTATGAATCTAAGCTATGATATAAGTAAACAAACAAAAAAATCTCTTTAACGAGGAATAAACAAAGGGCTATGAATTTAGGCTAAGATAAGAATTAACAAACAAAAAATCACTCTTGAACGAGGAGAAACAAAGGGCTATGAATCAAGGTAATTTCTTCAAGTGCCCATCCCTATTCACAACAAATAGTAAGGGAAGCATCCACTATTACTTGATAGTAAAAGACAAAAGCAAACCGAAAGGAGCGCTAAAACAGTCAAAAACATAGTGAGTGCACACCATGCTCAACCGATTAGTCCGTCTCGTCTGAGAAACAGTGATCTCAAAGCAGTATGCATTTTTTGAATAGAAAAACGTCAACGGGACCCTGCTCTGTGGTTCACGTGTCCAGTCTCTGTAGTCCTTTGTTCCAGTTCCAAAAAGTCTTCCAGGAAGAATCAGGAAACAGTCAGTTTGTGTCATTCCATTAGCTTACTTTTGAGGCCGTGGACCAAGGACTATGAATCTAAGCTATGATATAAGTAAACAAACAAAAAAATCTCTTTAACAAGGAATAAACAAAGGGCTATGAATTTAGGCTAAGATAAGAATTAACAAACAAAAAATCACTCTTGAACGAGGAAAAACAAATGGCTATGAATCTAAACTAAGGTAGAAAAATTTACAAACAAAAAAATCACTCGTCACGAGGAACATACGGCTTACTATGGCGATGGCTGTGGACATGGATCAAGGCTCTGGTGCAGGACAAGGACAAAGACACTCTGGCACAAGACAAGGGGAACACAGACTATTTAAACACATGGAGGGAAATAGGGAACAGGTGGAAACACTTAGGGCAATCAGACTGAGACACATGAGGAAGGGCAAGTGACCTGAAACGAGAGGAGAATTACTTTTCAAAATAAAACAGGAAATGACAGGACAAAACAAACCCAAGACAAGACAACCTCACCACGGTGTGACAGAACCCCCCCTCCTAGGACCGGCTACCAGACGGTCCAGGATGGTCGCGGTCAAAATCAGCAATAAGAGTACGGTCCACAATGAACCGTGATGGGATCCACTGTCTCTCCTCCGGGCCGTACCCCTCCCAATCCACCAGGTACTGGCTGCCCCGGCCCCTGTTGTGAACAGCCAGCAGCCGTTTAACCTTGTAGACCGGACCCCCATCTATCATCTCAGGAGGAGGAGGGGGCGGGAGGGGCGGAACCAAGGGACTCTCCTTGGCCGGCTTGACCTGACTGACATGGAAGGTGGGGTGAACACGGAGGGAGCGAGGCAGGCGGAGCCGCACCGCTGCAGGACCGATGACCTTGGTAATGGGGAAGGGACCCACAAATCGCGGTGCCAGTTTCTTGGAAGGTACCCGGAGGTGAAGATTCTTGGCTGAAAGCCACACCCTTTGACCTGGCTGGTAGACAGGTGCGGGTCGCCTTTTGCGGTCCGCCGCTTTCTTGGTCCGGTCCCCTTGACGGATAAGCACCTGCCGTGCAGCAGCCCAGATGCGTCGGCAGCGGCGGATCATGGCATGGGCAGATGGGACCGTGACTTCAAGCTCCTGGGCAGCGAACACAGGCGGTTCATAACCATAAACACACTTGAAGGGTGAAAAACCGGTGGCAGACGTGGGCAGGGAGTTGTGGGCGTACTCGACCCAGACCAGGTGTTTGCTCCATGTCGAGGGGTTCTGGGACACTAGACATCGGAGGCCGGTTTCCAACTGCTGGTTAAGGCGTTCGGTCTGGCCGTTAGCCTCCGGGTGATAGCCCGAGGTTAGACTGGCCTTAGCTCCGATGAGCCGGCAAAATTCCCTCCAGAACTGTGACACGAACTGGGGCCCCCGGTCCGAGACGATGTCCTTGGGAAACCCGTGAATCTTGAAAACATGGTCAATCATAATTTCAGCTGTTTCCTTGGCTGAAGGCAGTTTAGGCAGGGCAATAAATCTGACCATCTTAGAGAATCTGTCCACCACAGTGAGGACTGTGGTGTTACCTTGAGAGACCGGGAGCCCCGTGACGAAATCCAGCGATATGTCGGCCCATGGTCTGGAGGGGATGGGCAGTGGTTGCAGCAGTCCCATACGTGACCCGGAGGACATCTTGTTCCTCGCACAGACCGAACAAGCCTCGACGTACTCCCGGACCTCCGATTCCATGGATGGCCACCAGAACCTCCGAGAGATGGCAAACACTGTCCGCCGAACTCCCGGATGACAGGAAAGCAGCGAGGAGTGGGCCCAATGAATCACCTGTGGGCGCAAATCGACAGGGACAAATAATCGATTCTCGGGGCACCCACTAGGTGGCGGAGCCTCACCATTAGCTTGCTTAACCTCCTTTTCTATCTGCCAAATCACCGCTCCAACCACACAGGTCAGTGGGAGGATAGGCTCTGGTTCTTTGGCTACAGGCTCAGGGTCGTATAGACGTGACAGGGCGTCAGGCTTGACGTTTCGGGACCCCGGCCTGTAAGAAAGAGAAAAAGAAAAGCGGTTAAAAAACAGCGCCCACCTGGCCTGGCGAGAATTGAGTCTCTTGGCCCTGCGTATATATTCCAGGTTCTTGTGGTCAGTCCAAACGATGAACGGTTGCTCAGCTCCCTCCAACCAGTGTCTCCACTCCTCCAGCGCCACCTTA